CAGGTGTTCAAGACCAGCCTGACAAACATGGTGAAACCCCGTCTCTACTAAAAATACCAAAATTAGCCAGGCGTGGTGCACGCCTGTAATCCCAGCTACTCAGGAGGCTGAGGCAGGAGAATCACTTGAACTTGGGAGGCGGAGGTTGCAGTGAGCCAAGATCGCACCACTGCACTCCAGCTTGGGACAGCACGAGACTCCATCTCAAGCAAACAAACAAAAAAAGAAATGCAGGCCGGGTGCGGTGGCTCACGTCTATAATCCTAGCACTTTAGGAGGCCGAGGCGGGCAGATCACCTGAGGTCGGAAGACCAGCCTGACCAACATGGAGAAACCCCATCTCTATAAAAAATTTTTAAAAAAAAGAAATGCAAGCTGAGCCCCATCACAGACCTGTTGAATCAAAAACTCTGAGGATGGCTCTGGCAGCCTTTGCTTTAACAAATTTTCCAGGTGATTATAATAAATGTTGAAGTATGAGAACTGCTGCCTGTAATCACATTACAGAGGTACTTAAGTAGCTTAAAAACAGGTCCTGATCATTGAATTCTACTAAACTTAAAAAACTGAATGCAGGTAACTTTATAAAAAAACAAATCTCAAACATGGAATTGTTTTTACACTTTTCTTAATACTCTGTAAACATTAATGTATTTATATATGTACTTAGAATTTTTTTATTTTTTTTAGAGACAGAGTTTTGCTCTTATTACCCAGGCTGGAGTGCAATGGCACAATCTCGGCTCACTGCAACCTCCGCCTCCTGGGTTCAGGCAATTCTCCTGCCTCAGCCTCCTGAGTAGCTGGGATTACAGGCACACGCCACCATGCCCAGCTAATTTTTTGTATTTTTAGTAGAGACGGGGTTTCACCATGTTGACCAGGATGGTCTCTATCTCTTGACCTCATGATCCACCCGCCTCAGCCTCCCAAACTGCTGAGATTACAGGCTTGAGCCACCGCGCCTGGCTGTAGTTAGAATTTTTAAAAATCAATTTTATTCAGTTATAATTAACATACAGTAAAAATGTTTCCATCTTGAGTAATTCCTTGCCTTTTGACAAGTGTTCTGTACCCATGCAACGACCACCACAATCGAGAGAGAACATCTTCATCACTCCAGAAGGACTCCTTTGCAGTCAGTACTCCCTAGGAGTTCCAGCTGCCAGTGACATTGATCTGTTTTCTGTCACTGTAGATGAGATTTGTTTGTTATATACAATTTTTAAAAATTAAATGATATGGTATGTATGGTTTGTTTTGCTTAGCATAATGTTTTTGAGACTTACTGATTTGTTGCCTATATCAATAGTTTGCTGCTTTCTATAGCCTGTATTTCATTTATATCTGGTTGCTTTGTTTATCCATGTGTTTATCTCCAATGGACATTGGGTTCTTTCTGATTTTTTGGTTATTATGAATAAAGTTGCTATGAACATTATTGTATAGATCTTTGTGGTTTCATGTGTTTTTGTTTTTCTTGGGTAAATATGTAGGAATGGAATTGCTAGATTGCATGGCAAGAGTATACTTAGCTTTCCATGACACCAGTGAACTGTTTTTCCAAAGACATTGTATTAATACCATTTTACATTCCCACAACCAGTGTATGAGGGGTCCAGTTGCTCCACATCCTCAACTATCAGTTGATACTGTACAGTACAAATGTTAATTTTTAGAACATCTTCACAACTTGGGAGTAGTGATTTCTTAGAACACAACCATCAATCATAACAAAAATTAAAATCAGACTTCATCAAAATTAAAAATTCTCTTTGAAAGACATCTTTAAGAAAATGAAAAGACAGCAGATGACAGGATATATTTGCAATGCAAATATCTAATAAAGGACTAGTATGCAAAAAAATAATTTTTATAATTTACTAATAAATTATAAGGAAAACACAAAATTTTAAAATGGGTGAAGAAGACAAAATTCATATTCAGATAATACAAACAACTAAGAAAATTCAGGAGATTCTCAATCATATATTAAACAAGGCAGGAGTCCTATACATCATCAATGAATATTGAGAATAAAAAATAGTTTTTTAAAAATCCTCCAATTTTTAAGGGCAACAATATGTACAAGGTGTTAAAATAAATGGAATGTGTATTTGGGTATAAATGCAGCAGCATAATGAAAAGTAGGGTTTATTGGGGAAAAAAAAATTACAGGGAGAAAGGTCAACAACGTGAAGAGGTTCCTCTGCCCTCTGGACTTCCGGAAAAAGGCCTGCTGGTCTAGGAAGAGCTGGATGCACCATGGAAAGTGGTTTGCACGAACACTGGCACTGTAACGATTGTACATGTTGATACTTTGGAGGAAGCCAGTGAATACTTGGTCAATTATTTAACGATTGCTCCTCTGTTGAAGAAATGGCTTTGTTGGACTAGAGCTTAGCTATGGTTCACATACTATGCTGCTGGTAACAGCTAGAAGCCTTACTAACTCAGAAATTTGCTAAACCACCTACAAGAGGAAATGAACCTTCTAGGACACCTGGATTACCTTTTCTTAAAAATATACAGTGGCTCACACCTGTAATCCCAGCACTTTGGGAGGCCGAGGTGGGTGGATCACGAGGTCAGGAGAGTGAGACCATCCTGGCCAATATGGTGAAACCCCATCTCTACTAAAATACAAAACAAAATTAGCTGGGCATGGTGGTGAATGCCTGTAGTCCCAGCTACTCTGGAGGCTGAGGCAGGAGAATTGCTTCAACCCAGGAGGAGGAGGTTGCAGTGAGCCGAGATTGCATCATTGCACTCCAGCCTGGCAGCAGAGCAAGATGGTTAAAAAAAAAAAAATCCAGCCTTTATGGCAGCATAACAGAGGTTAAAAATACAGACTAGCTAGATCACCTGGGACTTGCAACCTCACCCCTTGACCTCTAGAGAGGGTAAAAGGGCTGCAGACTGACTTAACCACTAATGGCCAGTGATTGAACCAATCATGCCTAAGTGGCGGCACCGCCATTAAAATAAACTGCAGGTTTGGAGCTTTTGGTTTGGTGAACCCCAACCACATACCAAGAAGGCAATGCACCTCAAACTCCATGAAGACGAAAGGTCCTGTTCTCACCTGGGACCCTTCTGGACCTTGTCCGGTGTTCCTCTTCAACTGCCTGTTCATCTGTAATACTAAAGCAGTAAACGTGAGTAAAGTTTCTGAGTTCTCGGAGCCATTATAAGAAATAATTGAACCTGGGATTTTCCTGTTGGAAGCCCCACTCTCTTGAAAGGGAGAGAACTGTTCTCCTTTTTCTTTTGCTTGTTAAACCTCTGCTCCTAAACCCACTCCTCGTGTGCGTCCATGTCCTTAATCTTCTTGGTGTGAGACAATTTACCCCAGACAACAATGCCACTTCATATTGGGGACTTCGTCTGGGATCCCAAGGTACATTCATTAGAAAGGTGAGTAGGGAGTCCCAGATACTCGGGAGGCTAAGGCAGGAGGATTGCTTGAGGCAGAGGTTGCGGGAAGCTGAGATCAAGCCACTGCACTCCAGCCTGGTGACAGAACGAGACTCTGAATTAAAAAAAAAACAAAAAAAAAACCAAATAGGGGAGCGGACCTCAACTCTGTCCTTTGATTTCGAGGCGCTTAGCCTCCATTTTCAAATCAAACCAAACCAAATACTGAGCCCTCTTCTGCTTCTGTGAATGGGAAAACTCTGCCTTTAATAATTAGCCATTTAAAAATTATTTGCGCGGCTGCCAGCCTTAGAAGACTTGGGGGACAGGGTGGCTGAGGAGAACACGGAGAATCCCTGGTACCCACGGGCTGCTGGGCATATTGGTCATGTTTGAACCAGTTTCCTTTCCTGGAAGACCAAGCCATCATGTGTAGGGGGCTGGAAGAGGTCCTGGAGCAACTGAGGATTTCTGGCTGGGGCTACCCTCTGGTCAAAGGCTTCTGGACTGACCCCAGCCTCCAACCACCCTATGGGGTGTTGGCAATAAGACCTCCCACTTTCCTGTCATAGTCCCCTCTTCTCCTCTCTCTGTGTGCGATGCCGTGGGAATTTTACAGTTTAGGAAGTAATCTTGTTAGGCAAGATCAGGGAATGCTGTAGCAACTGGGGATTTAGCACGGGGCAGCCATTGTGATTTTCTAGGAACAGAGGGTCCCTCCCCCACCCACAGTGAGCGTCACTCTCTGCCCTTGCTCTGGAAAGCACACGGTATGTCAAAGTCACTCTGCCCTTCGTCATAATAAGATTAGGGTGGGGTGACCAACCAACCCTCCCTGGTCTTGATGAATCAAACCCTTAGGATGACGAAAAAGCAGAATCTACAGTCACTTTAAAGCAGTGTGATGTAAAGAAAAGGGTGGCAGAGTGTCTCTAGGACCTAAGGACATTGACATTGTTGTGGATAAAATGCCTTGGAGTGATGAAAAACTTTATTGTCATCATTGGACCATGGTGCATAATGTATTGTTACACCTGCTAATAAAAAGTTAAAGGGCAATTAACTTAATTAGCTTAATATGACCAGCAACTGTAGGTTTAAGAGTGAAAAATGGGCCAGGTGTGGTGGCTCACGACTGTAATCCTAGTACTTTAGGAGGCTGAGGTGGAAGAATCCCTTGAGCCCAGGGGTTTGAGACCAGCCTGGGCAACATAGGGAGACCCCCCCACCACCCCACCCCAATACCCACCCTGCCCCTGTATCTACAAAAAATAGTGGTGTGTACCTGTAGTACCAGGTGCTTGGGAAGCTGAAGTGGGAGGATTGCTTTAGCCCATGAGGTTGAGGCTACAATGAATGGTGATCAAGCCACTGCACTCCAGCCTAGGTGACAGAGTGAGACCCTGTCTCAGGAAATAAAACTGAAAAATATCCATACAAAAACTTGTACACTCATGTGCACAGAAGTATTTTATAAATAACCAAAAAGTATAAACAATCCACATATCCATCAATAGGCTGAGGAATAAAATATCCATATCTACCTTTCAGCCAGAACTGCCATCTTCCAGTAATTTGCCAAAATGACGAACACAAAGGGAAAGAGGAGAGGCACCCGATATATGTGCTCCAGGCCTTTTAGAAGACATGGAGTTGTTCCTTTGGCCACGTATATGCGAACTCATGAGAAAGGTGACGTTGCAGACTTCAAGGGAATGGGTACCCTTTGAAAAGGAGTGCCCCACGAGTGTTACCATGACTAAACCGGAAGAGTCTACAATGTCACCAGCATGCCGCTGGCATTGCTGTAAACAATTAAGGGCAAGATTCTTGCCAAGAGAATTAATGTGTGTATTGCACACATTCAGCACTCTAAGAGCTAATGACATGTGTGAAGAGACAGCTTCCTGACATGTGTGAAGGAAAATAAACAGAAAAAGAAGCCAAAGAGAAAGGGACCTTCAACTGCAGGACCAGCCTGCTCCAGCCAGAGACGCACACGGTGTGAGAACCAGTGGGAAGGAGCCTCAGCTGCTGGAACCTATTTCCTATGAATTCATGGCATAATCGGTATTAAATAAAAGACCTCTGGACTATAAAAAATAAAATATGGTATTTATATGATAATAAAATGTGGTATATCCACATAATGAAATACTATTTGACAATGAAAGGGAATATGAAGTACTGAAACAAAACAACATGAATGAATTTGGCTTCCTATTTTTTGTTCTTTTTATTTTTTGAGCACCTCTACCAACATGAACATTCTGCTAAGTGAAAGCAACCAGACAGGAAGGACCACAGATAGTATGATTCAATTTATATGAAATGTCTCCAGTAGGCAAATCTAGAGGCAGAAAGTAGCGTAGTAGTTGCCTCAGGCTAGGAGGGGACTGGGGAAATGGAAAGCTAATGCGTGCAGCGTTTCTTTCTGGGGTGATGAAAATGTTCTAAAATTGATTGTGGTGATGGTTGCACCTGTTCATGAATATACTGAAATCTATTGAATGGTACATCGTACTTACTTTTTTTACAGATGGGGCCTCACTGTGTTGCCCAGGCTGCAGTTTAGTGGTGCAATCATAGCTCCCACAGCTTCGTCCTCCTAGGCTCAATAGATCCTTCCACCTCAGCCTCCCGAGTAGTTAGGACTACAGGCATGTGCCACCATGCCCAGCTAAGTTCTTGTTTTCTTTTTAAAAAGATTTTTTAGAGACAGGATCTATCTAGCTGTGTTGCCCAGGCTGATCTCAACTTCTGGCCCCAAGCAATCCACCCACCTTGGCCTCAAAGTACTGGGGTTATCAGTATGAGTCACTGCACCCTGAGTTGCACATTTTAAATGGGTGAATTTTATGATGTGTGGATTATATTTCTTTCTTTCTTTTTTTTTTTTTTGAGACAGAGTCTCACTCTGTTGCTCAGGCTAGAGTGCAGTGGTACCATCTCAGCTCACCAGTGGCTCACACCTGTAACCCCAGCACTTTGGGAGGCCAAGGCTGGAGGATTGCTTAAAATTGGGAGTTCCAGACCAGCCTGGCATGTAGAGACCCTGTTTCTACAAAAATAAAGAAAAATTAGCCAGGCATGGTGGCATGCACCCACAGTTCTAGCTACTTGGGAGGCTGAGGCAGGAGGATTGCTTGAGCCAAGGTAGCCAAGGCCGCACTGAACCATGATCAAGCCACTGTGCCTGGGTGACAGTGTGAGACTCTGTCTCTGAAACTAATCAAAGAAATAAGAATGATTTGCATATGGGTAGTATAAAATGGTGAATGCTGGAAGGTAAAAAAAAAAAAAAATTAAACATGGCTGGCTGCTGTCTGTGGTGTGATCTGTACCATCATGTCTGTCCTGACGTCGCCGCTGCTGCAGGCCCTGACAGGCTCTGCTCAGTGGCTCCTGGTGCCTCGTGCCCAGGTCCATTAGATGCCGCTGGAGCAGAGGCTTCGGGCCCTGGAATTGGCCATTGGGCTGCCCTCCTGTTTCATGACCTTCCTCCTGCCTGAGGGCTGGGTCCTGTCACACCTGGGGAACTACTGGAAGCGGGAGTGAAGGGGCCCGTTCTGGCCCTCACGGTGAGACCTGACCTGCCCCACAAGCCCATCCTGGTCACGTTCCTGCATTCCTGGCCCACCTCCCCTGGATCATGTCATTCAATTCCAGTCACCTCTTCTGCAATTGTGACCTCTCGCTGTCTCCATGGTGACCTCCTGAGACCACAAATATTGACCCTGCTTGGTAACATAAAATCTGTTTAAAGCTTAAAAAAAAATTAAGCGGCCGGGCGCGGTGGCTCAAGCCTGTAATCCCAGCACTTTGGGAGGCCGAGGCAGGTGGATCACGAGGTCAAGAGATCGAGACCATCCTGGTCAACATGGTGAAACCCCGTCTCTACTAAAAATACAAAAAAATTAGCTGGGCATGGTGGCGCGTGCCTGTAATGCCAGCTACTCAGGAGGCTGAGGCAGGAGAATTGCCTGAACCCAGGAGGCGGAGGTTGCGGTGAGCCGAGATCGCGCCATTGCACTCCAGCCTGGGTAACAAGAGCAAAACTCCGTCTCAAAAAAAAAAAAAAAAAAATTAAGCATTATGATAAATGGTTTCATGTACTGCTAAATATATACCTAATGAAAACATTGTATTTTAAAACTTCCAAGAGAGTTTTTATTACTGCAATAGTCTTTACTTCCTGGCTTAGAAAAGGAAGTACATTTTAATTATTTTTGATGCTATTTTTGATGTATTTTTGATGTATTTTTGATGCTATTTTTGATGCTATTTTTGATGTATTTTCTACATGAGTTTGTTTCTACCAAATACAGATTCATTCCTTTAACAAGTTTTTAAACTTTCATTGTGTAAAATTTCATACAAAGATAGAATAGTGTAATAAATACTTGTCAACACATGGCCAAATGATATTTCATCCATCTCCTACCTACCTTTTTTTCCTGGAAATAACAATAACTATATTATCTATTTTATTTTATTTATTTTATTTGAGACAAGATTCTCACTCTGTTGCCCAGGCTAGAGTACAGTGGTGTGGTGCAATCTTGGCTTACTGCAACCTCCACCTCTCAGGTTCAAGTGATTCTTGTGCCTCAGCTTCCCAAGTAATTGAGATTACAGGCCATGCATCATCACACCTGGCTAATTTTTGTACTTTTAGTAGAGGTGGGGTTCTACCGTGTTACCAGGCTGGTCTCGAATTGCTGGTATCGAATTTCTGGCCTCAAGTGATCCACCTACCTTGGACTCCCAAAGTCCTGGGATTACAAGCGTGAGCCATTTGCGCCTGGCCAAGATTTTTTTTTTTTTGAAAGTGAGTTTTGCTCTGTTGCCTAGGCTGGAGTTCAGTGGTGCAATCTCAGCTCACTGCAACCTCTACCTCAGACTCAAGCAATCCTCCCTCCTCAGTGTCCTGAGTAACTGTGACCACAGGTGGTGCCACCATGCCCAGCTAATTTTTATATTTTTTATAGAGACAAGTTTTCACTTTGTTGCCCAGGCTGGTCTGGAACTCCTGGTTCTACAAACTCCTGGGCTCAAGTGAGCCTCCTACCTCAGTCTCCCAAAGTGCTGGGATTACAGACATGAGCCACTGTGCCTCGCCCCTTAAGATTTTTGATTTATAGATTTCCTTTTTCCATCTCTTTTTTCTTGTAACTTATTTGTTAAAGAAGCCATAGGACTCTGTCCTGTAAAATTTTCTCTATTCTGGATTTGGCAGAATGTGTTCCTATGGCATCATCTAACATGTTCCTCCACCTTCTGCATTTCCAGGAACCTGACAGTGCATCTAGCAGTTTGGTCAGGCTCAGGTTCTATTTCTGTGTGTGTGTGTGTGTGTGTGTGTGTGTGTGTGTGTGTGTGTGTGACAGAGTCTCACTCTGTTGCCCAGACTTGACCGCAGTGGTGCAATCTCAGCTCACTGCAACTTCTACCTCCCGGGTTCAACCGATTCTCCTGCGCAGCCCCCTAGTAGCTGGGATTACAGGTGTGCACCACTACGCCCAGCTAGTTTTTGTATTTTTAGTAGAGATGGGGTTTCTCCCTATTGGCCAGGCTGGTCTCAAACTCCTGACCTTAGGCAATCTGCCTACCTCGGCCTCCCAAAGTACTGGGATTATAGCTGTGAGCCACCACACCTGGCCTCAGATTCTATTTTCTTTCTTTTTTTTTTTTTTTTTTTTTGAGACGGAGTTTTGCTCTGTCACCAGACTGGAATGCAGTGGCTCGATCTTGGCTCGTTGCAATCTCTGACTACCTGGTTCCAGCAATTCTCCTGCCTCAGCCTCCCGAGTAGGTGGGATTACAGGCACGCACCACCACACCCAACTAATTCTTTTGTATTTTTAGTAGAGACAGAGTTTCACCATATTGGCCAGGATGGTCTCAATCTCCTGACCTTGTGACAGGCACTCCTGACAGGCACAGTGGCTCAAGCCTGTGATCCTAGCACTTTGGGAGGCCAAAGCACGTGGATCATTTGAAGTCAGGAGTTCAAGACCAGCCTGGCCAACATGGTGAAATCCTGCCTCTACTAAAAATACAAAAATCAGCCTGGCATGGTGGCAGGCACCTGTAACCACAGCTACTTGGGAGGCTGAGGCAGGAGAATTGCTTGAGCCTGCAAGGCAGAGGTTGCAGTGAGCTGAGATCGTACCACTGAACTCCAGACTGGTCAACTGAGCAAGACTAAGTCTCAAGAAAAAAAAAAAAAAAAAAAAAATGCTGGGCACAGTGGCTCACGCCTATGATCCCAGCACTTTGGGAGGCCAAGGCAGACAAATCACTTGAGGCCAGGAGTTTGAGACCAGCCATGGCCAACATGGTGATGCCCCATCTCTACTAAAAATATAAAAATTAGCCGGTCTGTTCGGCCGGGCGCGGTGGCTCAAGCCTGTAATCCCAGCACTTTGGGAGGCCGAGGCGGGTGGATCACAAGGTCGAGAGATCGAGACCATCCTGGTCAACATGGTGAAACCCCGTCTCTACTAAAAATACAAAAAATTAGCTGGGCATGGTGGTGTGTGCCTGTAATCCCAGCTACTCAGGAGGCTGAGGCAGGAGAATTGCTTGAACTCAGGAGGCGGAGGTTGCGGTGAGCCGAGATCGCACCATTGCACTCCAGCCTGGGTAACAAGAGCGAAACTCCGTCTCAAAAAAAAAAAAAAAAAAAAAAAAAAAATTAGCCAGTCTGCCGGGCG